CACCCACCAATTGCAACCCAACAATTGCCACCAACCAATTGTCACCAGCCAACTGTCACCAACCAACTGTCATCAACCAACTGTCATCAACCAATTGCCACCCACAATTGCCACCCACCAATTGTCATCAACCAATTGCCACCCACCAATTGTCATCAATCAACCAATTGTCACAGACGTGTTTGTGCTGCTGTGATGTTCACCAGGGGGTCGGATGTACGCCCCGGTGCTGGCCGGGGCTGCTGGGTCTCTGCCGCTGTGATTTGTGTAGCATTTGTGTTTGTGCTGTTGTGATTTGCGTGGCAGGCGCCATACTTTGGTGTTCACCAGGGGGTCGGATGTACGCCCCGGTGCTGGCCGGGGCTGCTGGGTCTCTGCCGCTGTGATTTGTGTAGCATTTGTGTTTGTGCTGTTGCGATTTGCGTGGCAGGCGCCGTACTTTGGTGTTCTCCAGGGGGTCGGATGTACGCCCCGGTGCTGGCCGCTGCTGGGTGTTTGCCGCTGTGCCGCTGTGATTTGTGTAGCATTTGTGTTTGCGCTGCTGTGATTTGCGTGGCAGGCGCCGTACTTTTGTGTTCACCAGGGGGTCGGATGTACGTCCCGGTGCTGGCCGGGGCTGCTGGGTCTCCGCCGCTGTGCCGCTGTGATTTGTGTAGCGTGGGACGTACGCCCCGGTGGTGGCCGGGGCTGCTGGGCTTCCGCCGCTGTGATTTGTGTAGGATTTGTGTTTGTGCTGTGTTTTTCGTGGCAGGTTTTGTACTTTGGTCTTCTCCAGGGGTCGGGATGTGCGCCTTGAGGTCGCTGGGTCGCCGCAGCTGTGCCGGCGTGATTTGCGTGGCAGGCGCGCTTGGTGCTCTCCAAGGGGTCGGATGTACGCGCTGAGTGTCGTGGGGTCGCCGCAGGGTTGGCGGTCTGAGTTGCGTGGCAGGTGCGGGACGCTCTGCCAGCGTGTCTTACGCGCTCGTGTCTCTTCCCCGCATTGACGTGTGGGGTTTTTGCTTTTTGTGTTGTATCCGCTCCTTCCTCCTCCTCCTCCTCCTCCTCCTCCTCCTCCCGCCTCCCGCTTGCCACCAACTAATTTCCACCAACCAATTGCCACCCACCAATTGCCACCAACTAATCACCAACCAACTGTCACCAACCAATTGTCACCAACCAACTGTCATCAATCAATTGCTACCCATCAGTTGTCACCAACCAATTGCCACCCAATTGCCACCAACCCAACAATTGCCACCAACCAATTGTCGCCAACCAATTGCCACCAACCAATTGCCACCAACAAACTGCTACCAACCAATTGCCACCAACCAATTGTCAATTACCAATTGTCCGCTCCTGTGTCTTGCGAAGTTGTTAACATGTGGGCCATGTGGGGTTATCCGGTCCTATATTTTTTTGACTTGCAGAGGCTGCAGGGTGTGTTGATTTGCAGGTCCTTGCTACGAAGAAATTATACAACAAAACAACGAATATCCTCCGGCATTTGGGGTAGATTTGAAAGGGAGCGTGGGTTAGCCTGTTGTAGACTTGGTTCGGCGTTTTCCTGTTCGCCCTGATTTGTTCAGTCATGTTGGGAGGCTTGCTTATCACGGCAAGCGATCGAAATCAAAGATACGTTTGACCTGCTTTGGGTCTACAGTTCATTTATCAATCTGTACCAGAGAACTTGATGCTCTCACATTATCAAGAGCGTGTGGTAAGGGAACAATGCAGAGGTAGGTTTTGGTAGGCAGGGTGTTCTAAGTTCAACTCTATTACACTGAATTGGATAATGATGGCGCGTACAAACGGAAGATGGCGCATTTTGGCAATGGCAAGCACCCACATGAGAATGCGCAACGCGATGTCCAGAAAGGGCCTTGCTCCAGCTACTGAAAAGCTGCGCGCTACAAGTGCAAGCGTCAGAAGATGGCACGGTCATCTTTTTTGGGGGGTAGGAAGTTCGAAGAAATTGTACTGCACCCCTCCCCTGGGCCATATACTGTACTCATCACCTGCTGCAACAGCTTTCCAGTGGCTTGCCTTGTCCTATTGGTTGGCAAAGTGTCTGTCCTTGTTGGATTGCTTTGTTTTTGCCATTCCCTTCCTTTCCCTTTCCCTTTCCCGTTCCCGTGTGAGAAAGTCAGCTAAGTGTATGTGTTTCGCCCCGCTCAGTGAAGGTCATGCCACACATACCGGGACTATCTTTTGGTTCGAGGGTACCCTTCGGCCATACGGTCCTCTCGGACCTTCGCGCTACCGCGAACTCCCGCGCCGCCATAGAGTGGCTAGCTCGAGCCTTTGAAGGCTGACCAGCCCGCCGTGAAGGCAACCGATTTGGTGCGCGTCGACCAGCTGAGCTTTTGTATTGCATTTGCACACCTTTGCTTTCGGAAGCCACATAGCTACCCACATTGGTAGGGGAGCTCTGGCGATTGCCATCTCCTGAGACCTTGATAGCTATACTCCATCCTTGACTTCCGCCTCACGAACTTCCTGGGCTCCTGCAGCGTTGGGCACCTCCCTCAACGACCTTGAGCTCTACTCGCAGGGCTTGGCTACCTCCTCGACATCACGGAGGTGATCTTCGATGGCTACCATCTCAGAAGGTGCTTGGGATGCCAATGAGCCAGTGGTCATGTCCTCGAAGCCTACAGAAAGGTGCAGAGAGCCTTGGTTCGAGCTCGGCAACAGAAGAAGCCACAGGCACCCTCATCGGAAGCACCTGTAGCACGGAGCCTTCAATCTGAACCTCAAGCCGAGCCACCAAGTCGCTCCCCTACATCGCCAGAGCAGCAGCAGGAGCTACTACGACCTGACCGTCATCACCGACGACCAGAGCACCAGAACTCCGACCTCAAGACTATGCAGGAGAAGCTGGTGAACAAGGTGCAGCAGAAGAACCACTCGATGACCCGTGGCAACAAGAGGAAGGGTGGACCGCTGAAGAATGGCGACAATGGCGACGTGACCGACGCCATTGGGGCGACTCGGACAACGACACTTCGTCGCCTGGTGAAGATCTACCCTGGGATGAGTTGGAGGTTGAGGACATTCAATTCAAGTCCTACCAGACGAAGTGCTCGGCTGGCTACTTCTTCGACGGGCTAACTTGAGTGCAGCCAGCAGGTCCGTCCAAGCCAGCGTACAAAACAGCCTCACTTTCAGGGACATCGAGACCGCCCTTCGAGATCAAGAAGAAGAGCTAATTCAAGCTGATGCTACAAGACATCCCTCGAAGCGGCGCACCTACTGGGTTGAAGAGTCTGGTTCATGAGGGCTTCTCGTGAAACAGGACGAGACCACCATGGACGACCTCACCGCCGAGAAGTGCACTGGGTTGGCAACCAACTTCCTCCTGAAGTATATGATCCTGGACCTATGGAGGCCTCGCCTGAAGATGACACCGAGATCTACTGGACTCGAGAGAGTGATGGTTGGCATGGCTATGCCATGGATTGGTCAGGCGAGTGGTATGAGACTGATGGTCATGGAGCCTTCTGGGCCTGTGATGATGGCTACATGGACGACCTCTCGCCGGAGGAGAACAAGGAGTTGGAAGAGGCCTACTCCGTCTATGAGAACAAGGCCAAGACCTTCCTGCAGCGCCGACAGTTCCAAAGAGCAAAGGGTAAGAGCAGAGGCTTCTACCCACCATCCTTGTTCAAAGGCAAGAAAGGAAAAGGCAAGAGTAAGAGCAAAAAGGGCAAAGGACGCCCACCTATGACATCTTCACCGCCGAGCAGCTCTATCCCTTCGACCTTCATGGCCAATGAGACGGTGCTGGCAGCGGATTCATCATCCACCGGATGCTTCATCAGCGGAGATAAGTCTCATGGTTTCCGCAACTGCCCAAAACGCAGTGCCAGCAGCTCACCAACGACTGGAAAAGGTTTTCATTGGACCTCGGTGCTACTGAGCCAGTGGGATCCCTCGAAGCCTTGGAGATGCTGATGTGGCAACGTCACCAAGCCCACGGTTGAACATCAAGGTCTTCACTGGACCCACTGCAGTCAAGCCTTTTCGCTTTGGCAATGGTGGCATCGCGCTGGTGCCTCAGCAGCTTGGAGAGAACAGCGTAATGCTGGGTATGTTCACTCTCGACGCCGAGAAGGTGCCGATCTTAATTGGCATGCGCACCCTTGATCGCCTTGGAGCGGTGATCGATGTAAGCGGCCGTTCGATGGTGCTTTCCAATGTGGCACCTGATCTCAAGATCCCTCTTGGAAAGAGCAAGGCGGGACACCTTCTAGTTGATCTTCGCACTGACTGGCTCACCATGGGCCAGCCCTTGGAGCAACATGCACCACGATCTCGCGCAGCGTACAAGGCTAAGGTGAGCAGTCCTCCGTGCGCAGTTGATCCCATGACCTCTCAAGCATTCTCACGACATGCAACTCATGACATGTTGAACCACATGCACACCGAGCATTGCACCAACTTTGAGTCTCCTCAAGTTCATGAGCAAGCTCTTGTGGTTGAACGTTGCGTTGAGGCAGAAGGTCATGAGTCAGGTGAAGATCTTGAAGCCGCATACATGCTTGATCCTCATGATCACCACCGACGCCCTTTGGCGCAAGCTGACCAAGTGATGCGGGACGGCATCCTCTCAGCCCTCGTGAACGATCCCTCACTAGCTCATGGCGCCCAAGAGGCGAAGGAGAAGAAGAAGTCCATCGCACCAGCTTCGGAGCGGTACGACTACAGCCGCACCCAGGGGATCAACAAGGACGATCCCAGAGCGACGGGCCCACCATGCCACGGCGAGCACACTCCTTCGATGCCGGGACGCGGCTCGAACGTGGGCAGCAACGCCCATGCCGCATGGATCGGCCGCTCGGAGTGTGGGATTCGAATGAGCTACACACCAGCTTTCGGAGCTCGCGGCCTGACCAGGCAGGCCGGGCCATTGACGGCCGACGCCTGGCCAGCAGAAGCCGGAGAAGGGCAGCATCGAGCTGAACAAGAAGATCGGCCTGGATGCGGCAGAGCGCTCTTTGGAGAAGCGCATGGAAACGATCCGCAAGCAGAAGGATCAGTGGGTGGCCAGCAACGCAAGGACAAGTACTCGGCCGAGACCACTTCGGGCTCCCCAACGGGCCAAGGCCCGGGACGCCCTTCACGCATCATGTCAGGGTATCCCAAGGACCCGGATCACCATGGCCCTGACAGGAAGCAAGAAGAGTGCTGAGATCCACACCCAGCCGAAGAACGAGGAGGCGGAGGAATGGGAACGGGTGACAGCCTGGCGCCCAACTTCGATGTGAAGAACAAGACAAAGATGGCTCGGGTAGATCAAGGATCGCGAGTTTCACCAGTTTCACAACGGCTAGATGGGGAAACTACCTCTTTGAAGAGTTCCTCACCAAGTTTTGCATGTGCTATGCACAGTTTTTCATCTTCCACAGCACCCTCACCGCCTATGCCAACGGATCCCAACCGGCCGGAGATTGTGTCCAAGGAGATCATGGACAAGTACTACCTGGGAGTCCGAGAAGGCGGCAGTTTCACCGAGGATGATGGCATTTGCCAACTTCAGGCATTTTGCCTGAAGCACCAGCCAGCAGCAAGAAGCGGAAGAAGAAAGGTCAGCAGCCCCATTCCTCTGACAGTGATGAATCCGGCGAAGGCCGAAGGCTGACCGACTCCGACACTGCCTGCCTGCTTGCTATGATGGCTGAGGACTATGAGCAGGAGCGCGAGGACATTCTGATGAGTCTAAAAGCCGACCAAACCCAAAGGCCTCCCAAGATCATGGAGCTTTGTTGCGAAGGGAACAGTGGACTCACCACTGCTCCTGAAGCTCAAGGAGGCATGCGAATTCGTTGTGGTCTCTTCAACGACTGCGACCTCAGCAAGAAGTCTGGCTTCAACAAGGTCATCCAGCTGGAAGTGATCCAGTTGGACAACATGGAATTCACCGTGGATGAAGAGACCTACCACTTCCAGGTGATTGTGGACGAGGCTTCCTCCTACGGGGCAGCTAACTTCCTCTTCAAGCACCACGTCTCTGCCAGCAGGAACCCCACTACACCCGAGGTGCTGCAAGCCCTTCATCAAGGATGGATCCAGTACTTCGGCTACCCCAAGTGCATCAAGAAGGAGCACATCGGGGCCGACAACTGGAAGAATGGGCTGAAGGCCATGGGATGAGGTGGAAGCCATCCCAGCAGAACACTGTGGATACATCGGCAAGTCGAACGGCTGACTGGGAATTTGAAGCAAAAGCTCATGGCTCAACTGAGGTCAACAGAGGCACCTCCTGAGACTGCCACCCAGCACACAATACCATGAGCAACGTAGGCGGCTATTCGCCAATGCAATGGGTTTTCGGCAGAAACCCCACTGAGGCCGATCGACTTCGTGAAGGACCTGATCTTCCCTATTGGTCGGGCATGAGTACAGGGGAGAAGATGAAGGAGAGACTGGAACAGCGGCTGCAGGCAGAGAACGGAAGTTGACCCTTCAGCACAAGATCAACCAAGCAGCCCAACGCCCGCGCGCAGCCACGGGTCCGATACCATCCAGGGGACTTGGTCTATACTACAAGCGCTACCAGCCACCGGCTGACAAGAAGGAGCGATCCCACCAGCTCCTGGACATTCCCCGACGACGTGTTGCTCGCTGGTATGGTCCTGCTCGTATCTTGGCGCTGGAGACCAAGAATAGCTATGAAGGACAAGTCCGACAACCACATTTGGTGGCCTGGATCATTGCCAGCGGCAGGCTCAAACGGGCGCACGCCAGTCAACTTCGTTTTGCTTCAGAACGAGAGCGTGTCATCGCGGAGAGCCATACTCCATTGGCTATGCCCTGGACCTTCAACGACCTCACCGACCTCATTTCCAAGGGCGAGTTCGACGGACACCATGACCCAAAGGCAGCAAGCTAGCCTTAAGACAGCGAGTTGGTGAACTGCAACCGGAAGAATCACCTTCCAGGAAACGACCAGCATCACAAGAACGACCTCGAGAAGAAGATGATGCAGATCCTACCGGGCGTTCACCAACGGGGCATCATGAGCCGGGATGTGGTTCAGACGAACCGTTTCTGGCGCCTGAGATGGCGCAAGCTGATCCACGCCACGAGATTTGCGAAGATCTCGATGCTCAGCGGTTGTTGAACGACCAGAACCACTTCCCGCTGGGCTCAGGTGAACAAGGACCACTGTTTCAGCACGCTCCATTTCTTCGTGCACGAGCTCGACATGAGCACGTGGAGCGACCCTACCATGTCCAGAGGCAAGATTTTCTGCGACAGCAAGAACTTCGAGGCTATGCTGGAGCTGGCGAGCAACCAACACCGGGAGTGCCTGAGCAGCCATCATCACCTGATGGTCATGCGGACTATACATGGAGGAGGAGATCTCAATGGAGGAGCTGTTCATGGCAGAGGATTCCGAGGACTATGTCTTCGCGGTCATGATTCTAGAGCCCAAGACGGAAGCAGAATGGAGGTCCATCGTCAAGGACCCCTCCAAGTTTGTGGCAAAGAAGATGGCCAAGGGTGTGGAAGTGAGCTGGCAGAAGCTAAATGCCACCCAGAAGCAGGCCATGCGAGAAGCCAAGGCCTTACCCGAACGTATGAGGTGGGTACTAGTTTTCAAGCAGACGGACACGCCTGGCATGGTCAAGGCAAAAGCTCGCCTTGTGGTCTTGGGCTTCACTGACCCCGATGTTGGCTTGGTCTCGGTCCGCTCTCCGACCATAGACAATGGGGCTTCCTCAAGGCCGACGCGAAGACCGCCTTCTTGCAGGGCGACATGGGCCAGCAGCACCGCCAAATATTTGGACAACCTGTCCAGGAGCTCAAAGATGCAATGGGCCTGAAAGAAGGCCAGGCCATTCAGTTTCTCAAGGCGGCATACGGCCTGACAATAGCTCCTCGTGAATTTTATGTGTTTGTTGATGAAGTTCTCAAGAAGCTGATCAGAACATGGAGCGACTCACCACAGAGCCCTGTCTGTGGCGCTTAACTGCCCACGACCCTCGACTGCAGAAGCGCGTCGCCATCGGCCTGGTGGGCGCTCATGTGGACGGCTTCCTCATGACCGGCAATATGAGCAGCAATGGGCGGAATTCTTGCAAAGATTCCACGAAAGCCTAAAATGGTCGCCGTGGGAGTGTGCGCCAATGAACCATTGCGGAGTACATCTTTCCCAAAAGAGCGATGGTGGTTGGATCCTGGACCAGAAAGAGTTTTGCGCCTCCCTCAACCCGGTCCAGGAAGACAGCAACGCCAAGGAGATCTCGGAGGCCGAGAGGCGACAGTGCAGAGCCGTGTTGGGGTCGGCTCAATGGCGAGTGTATCAGACGGCGCCCCATCATGCCGCAAAGCTCAGCCACCTCCAATCGATCCTGCCGAAGAGTGAAAGAGAAGTTCTGAAGGAGATCAACAAGTTCACCCGCGAGCTCTATTGGAGATGCGCAACCTCTTTGCCGAGAAGGACGAAGACATAGTGGCAGTGGCCTGGTCAGACGCAGCTCTGGCCAATCGGGCTGATTTGGGCAGCACCGGCGTCGGCTTGGTCGACAAGGACATGGTGGACAAAGGACTGAAAGGTCCTGTGAATGTGATCAGCTGGGGCAGTGCAAAGCTCCATCGAGTATGCCGCAGCAGCTTGGCCGCAGAGACACAAGCTCTGTCTGAAGCTGAGCAGGAGCTCATGTTCGTCAGGACTATGTGGATGGAGATGTTGGGCGAGAAGGTGAACCTTCACCAGCCGGGCGAGACCGCCCAGAAGATGAGGGGTGTCTTCATCACGGACGCCAAAGCCCTGTACGACTCCTGTCAGCCCTCGAGATCCTCACCCTGGTCCAGAACATGAAGCTCCAGGCCAAAGAGCTGAGATGGTGCAACTCGGACATGCAGCTTGCAGACGGGCTGACGAAGGTTGGAGCTCAGGATCGCACGCGGCGATTCTTGGAAGAATGGCGGCAGTGGAATGTTGTCTACGACCCACAGTTCATTGCGGCGAACAAGCTCCGTGCCCGGCGGCTGCCTGGTGATGCTCCCGAGACTGAGGAACCTAGCTTAGGAGACGTGACATGGCTGGACCTGATCGGAAGCTCACACACGGGGCATGCGAGAAAGTCAGCTAAGGGTATGTGTTTCGCTTCCGCTCGGTGAAGGTCATGCCACACATACCGGGACGATCGTTCGAGTATCGGACCTTCGCGCTACCGCGAACTCCCGTGCCGCCATAGAGTGGCTAGCTCGCGCCTTTGAAGGCTGACCAACCCGCCGTGAAGGCAACCGATTTGGTGCGTGTGGAAAACATCGACCAGCTGAGCTTTCGCATTGCGTTTGCACACCTTTGCTTCCGGAAGCCACATATAGCTACCCACATCCCGTTCCCTTTCCCTTTCCCTTTCCCTTTCCCTTCCCTTTCCTTTCCTTGCCTTTCCTTTCCTTTCCTGTCCTGTCCTGTCCTCCTTCCTTCCTTCCTTCCTTCCTTCCTTTGAAAATTCTTTCTTTCTTTCAAGGCTCTCACTAGATGGCACCACACTTCTACATGGTCCCACATGCAGAGAGAATCACACACCAGAAGATGGCCCAGCCAACAGCCAACTGCTGACTTGCGCCATCCACACATACCTCCTCAGAAGATGGCGCAGCCCCTGGCTTTTGCGCCAAGTCAGAAAGTAGCAGTAGCAGATAAATAGTTATATAGCAACCGTACTAACGGTTACTAACATCGAACTGTTTGATCAAGTGTTGCGTGTTTCTCCAGCGCCTAACGCTTTGCACAGGTCACTGGGGCTGTCACTGCCCTGCGGGAATTGCACCAAGCCAAGAGCAGGCCTGAAGCTTTTTGGTTTTGCTTTAGTAATTACAGAGCAGTTGACTTGAGGCAAAAGCATCACAAAGCTACTAATTACTCACTTGGACATGTTTGACCACAGCACCCTGGAACACCAGGCATGAGCAGATCCGCAGCGAGCCTTGCCAGTTCCATCCCTACCACACCACACTATTGCTGGCGCAAGGATTGTTTGACATATCAGTGCCTATATTGCTGGAACCCAAAACATCTATTATCAAACTTGCTATTTTAGTAATTAGTCTATTCACGTCGTCAAGGTAGGTACTTCCATTGAACATAGCCCCAGAAGTCACCCCCCCCCAACGTGGCCGAACATAGCTTCCATATTGCCTAACATAGTGCTAGAATGCGGGAACGTCGCAAATTGGTGTATCTTTTCCGCAGGTAGCTCGGGACGTTCGCCAGATATTTGGCTCAACAGGAGCAGAGATAAGGAACGGTAACATTTTCTAACGAGGGCTCAAAAGGGACTGGAATAAAGTAAAGATATTGCCTAACATAGCTCTAAAAGTCACTATCTAAAGGACGTGTCTGCGAGATAGGGACGTGAACGTCGTAAACATAGCCCAACGAGGGCTCAAAAGGGAATGGCACAAAGACCCCCCCTAACGTGACCAAACGTAGCTTTTTCCAGGAGCGGTAAGATTTTCTCACGAGCATAGCTTGCATATGGTCGAACATAGCCCCAGCAGTCACTATCTCGCACCTATGTTAGGCAATATGGAAGCTATGTTGAGCCACGTGAAAATGTTACCGTTCCTGAACCTGATCTCTGCTTATCTCTGCTCCTGTGGAGCAAAATATCCGGACATTCAAGTCCCTATCTCGCGGACACGTCCTTTAGATAGTGACTTCTAAAGCTATGTTAGGCAATATGGAAGCTATGTTCGGTCACGTGGGGGGGTGCTTTATTCCAGTCCCTTTTGAGCCCTCGTTGGGCTATGTTTACGACGTTCAAGTCCCTATCTCGCAGAGACGTCCCTTAGATAGTGACTTCTAGAGCTATGTTAGACAATCTCTTTACTTTCTTCCAGACCCTTTTGAGCCCTCGTTGGGCCATGTTTTGCGTTCAAGTCCCTATCTCGCAGACACGTCCGTTAGATAGTGACTTCTAGGGCTATGTTAGGCAATATGGAAGCTATGTTGAGCCACGTGAAAAAATGTTACCGTTCCTGGACCTGATCTCTGCTTATCTCTGCTCCTGTGGAGCCAAATATCCGGACATTCAAGTCCCTATCTCGCGGACACGTCCATTAGATAGTGACTTCTAAAGCTATGTCAGGCAATATGGAAGCTATGTTCGGTCACGTTGGGGGGGTGGCTTTATTCCAGTCCCTTTTGAGCCTTCGTTGGGCTATGTTTACGACGTTCAAGTCCCTATCTCGCAGACACGTCCTTTAGATAGTGACTTCTAGGGCTATGTTAGGCAATCTCTTTACTTTATTCCAGTCCCTTTTGAGCCCTCGTTGGGCCATGTTTTGCGTTCAAGTCCCTATCTCGCAGACATGTCCGTTAGATAATGACTTCTAGGGCTATGTTAGGCAATATGGAAGCTATGTTGAGCCACGTTAGGGGAGCCTGTTCAGCCAAATGTCCGGCCTCAGTCCAATTACACTTTACCGCGCAGATGATTCAAATCATGCAAAGGAAGGAAATTGCATTGCTTGCATCACCAGGGGCTTCAAAATAGCACGAATTCATCTTCCAGCATTTTAAGCCGGTTCCAAAAACGTGAAAAAACACAGGATTCTAGAGCGAAAATGGCCCCCCCCCTAGCTAAAGCTATTGGCTTGCATATGCTAGCTTACATATAGCGCGTGCCCTATAAAAACGCCTCGGCACCGAAGGTGCGGGCGGATTTTGCCAAGGCCCAGTGGTCCTTCTCAAGACACCGGAAGCAATCAGCGATCGCGCAGGTCTTTCCCTGAGTTAATGCCGAGCGAAGTGGCTGTGGGTCAAAACACCCGGGTCCCTAAACCCCTCCTTGGTAGTGCATTCCATTCATTTTCCGTGGTTAACCAGCGTTGAGTACAATGGGGCAATCATCCAACTTGTTTGAGCCCAGTTGACTTAGACAAAATTGTTCGGGGCAATTGTGCCAGCGTGGCCAGTGCAAGCTAAAAGAGGCTTTCCTGTTGACAGGAGGAGCTCACAATCGTTTGCATTCCAGCCTGTTTGCCAAACTGAACAAAGATCGTTAAGGTAAAGGCTGTGACAACGGACATGGGCGTCCCGAGGCCTTCGAACGCCATTTCAAAGCCGGTCAGGCACAAGAAAGAGATGAGTGGTTTGTTGAGTCAGTCTGAAGAACTGGTTGACTGGTTGGAGGACTGCTGCGAATGCATCGGCTCACAGCTTACTAGGGCATCGCTGGGAAAGGTTCAATTGCGCTTTGCATAGAAAGTCAATCTCTTGATTCAGCTTTATATACTTTTAAAGAAGACTGAGTAGAGCTTTACTTTTCTGAGATTTTCTGAGCTTTCATGTGCTTCTACTGCTTTTTGCATCCATACACATGTTTAAATTTGCTCAGGCAGGCAGATCATCCGAACTCCATCGCAGAGGCCGCGGCCATCTCGAATCCATCCCGAATCCCCCAATTTCCAATGTTCATGTCAGTCAGGTCGATTCAAGCCTAATCAAGTCTATAGTTTGCTGCATAAGTGTTCTCAGGTTCTATGCATTTCTCCTCAACAACAGCTTCGGCCATTGGCCACAGATTTCAGACGATGCGATGAGCAGTTGTACACAACCCTGCAAGAGATGTCAAGATATTCCAAGTGGAAAGTGCGAACGCATCAGGGAACTCCATCAAGGAGGGCAAGTGTGCAATTGGGATTTGTCCATGGAGGCTGGCCGAAGAGATCTATTTTGTAAGATTCGATGCATCAATGAACCCAGCGATGCCGGTGGCAAGCCCAGCGAAAAGGCTAACATATGCCAATATGTCGATTGTTAATACAATATTGAAATGCAATCTCCAGTTGAACTTTTTGGAAGGACAAACCTTGTTTTTTGCGTCGTTCCCGAAAGATATGTACTGTCCAGCAAAGCCTAACAGTGCACGTTGAGTGTTTGGAGTGGTTTCTGATCTGAAAAGAGATCGCGCCAAACAGTGCAGGCCCGATGGCGCCGAGTCTCATTGGTCCAAGCACTTGAATCACGCTTGATTTAATGTTCCTAGATCCACAGTTGCTACTAGACTAGCGTGGCACCTGTTACTACTAGCGTCTTTGTTCCTAGTAGCTTACAGTAGCGTTCATGAACGCAATCTTTGATGGGATCCCTGCAGTTGCGGCTACGCCAAAGTGTAACTCTCCAGGAGTGCTTCCCTCGGCAAGCACAGAGCGAGTATCAAGTCATGACACAATATGCTCAGATGTTGCAACCCGATCGAAATCATGAAGTGAACTCGCCTAAGCCAAGCAGAGCAGCCTCCCCTTACCACATGTGCAACAGGTGCAGGTTTGTTTGCAGACGGTTTTTAACTTCAACGGGTGAGATTGCTAGGTTCTAGTTTACATAATCAGTAGGCAACTTGTCAGGCAGTGGGAAGTGCTCAAGATAGAGAGAGAGAGAGAGGAAAAAGACATGAGAGGGCTATCATCGGTTTGATTTGAAACTCTGTGCTCCCCTGCCTAGGTTGCTTCTACAGCAGCAAGCAGCAAGGTCTCAGTTGTGCAAGACAGCATTCCTGAGGCAGGATGCAACCAAAGCAACAGTTGCGAGTTCAACTAAAAATGTTGCGCGTGCAACTCAACTGTGACTAGCACCTACAAGAACCCAAAAACATCCGAGAACTGGCATGTTTCAATCTAGAACAATCTAGAATATCGAGAACACGAACAAAACAATCATTACGACAGCAAATGTAGTGTTGGATTGAACAAACGTCTTCACACAGTAGATGGACTCACAGCTCGAAGCTTTGCCAACAGGATTGACATGCCAAAATGTAGAAGACACCACCACATATTGCTTGCTAATACTGATACCAGCAAATCTGCCCAAAGAAGTCCCTTCAATGGAGCTTTTGCCACCTTTGCCATTTTTTCTAGGTGGCTGACAGTCTTAGTAGGAAGGCCAACACCATTGGACCGTTGTCAGGTCGTCGTGCAGGAAAGTGGCTATATTCCACAGGCTGGCAGCAGGGAAGCATTGGAATCCATAAGCCATAAGCGTAAATCAATGAAACGAGGTTTGGTCACCTGCTCAACACCAGTTCAATTTACACTTCTGGCCACATTAAGATTGATTTATACAGATGCTCGACCCCAAGTTAAGAGATAGATAAACATGGCAGGAGTAGGTGTTTAAACCATTTGACATGGACTGCAAACAAATGAGGCAAGGGTAGTCCAAGAAATGTTTTGTGTGGAAGATGACGCTTTGGTGTGCAAAGTAGAAGATTCGCTGCTGCAGGAGAGAAATATGTATATAGTAAAACTAGCAAGCCTTCAATTGTCCCTTGCCAATCCTTAGTTGGGAGCTTCAATCTTCAATTCTTCCCACATGACGAACTTCTAAGAGCTAGCAGTGCAAATACTGCAAATCAGGCAAACTACAGGGTTCACGGCGGATAGACGGCCGTGGGGTAATGAATGATGGTCGTGGGGTAATCAATCCTAAATATGCGTAATTCCATTAGGAATGATGTGAGCGACAAAAAAATCCTTTGGAATCATGGTGAATTCCATGCAGATTTCGATAAAATCAGAGTTTCGCTGAGGCGAAATGGCGATTTCGAAGCATTTTTGAAACTACGCAACTACTTTTGGCGTCGGACATGCGTGCGACTTTTACACTCTTCACAGGAGCTGCTCCAAGCGGTGGGAGTCATATACACTGATAAAATTAATGAATATAACTCCTATACTTATCAACATTGAATATAGTGAGTATGTAATGAATGATAATGTGTCCTTTGATATCTGATAGAACGACTTGGAGTGATGGTTTGGTCAAACCCCACAAACCCCTTGGAGTGATTGATAATGTTCCCACACTGCTAGCCACAAACCCCACAAAAATTCGAGTAGTCCGTCAAACCCTGAAAATCCAAACATCAACGGTCCTGGTCCAAAACTATTTCGAGGGTCAAACCAACCAAAGGATCCCCACCACGAACTTTACTCCAAACCAAAGTCAAGTCGTCCAGATAACCTGGGTGAACACGAAAACTAGGTCGAAGAACCAGGGGTACCTCGTCCACGTCCACAAAACCTGCCAACCGCAACAAAAGAGCCAACGAAACGCACCAAAGAAAAGAAACAAAGGTTGCGGCATCTCTGAACTGAGCCAAAAAAAGGATGCAGTGTCTAACCGAATGTAACCCGCAAGAAAATAAACTGAAGTAGATAACATGCTACGCCACAGGTGTGCTAATTAGCCCCACCTCCACCCCACCACCCAAAAAAAATCCCACACGTAGTACTGTAGAAAACAATATATCAAAAAACATGTAAGAAAAGCCCACGGCCGTCTATCCGCCGTGGGCCAACTACAGTAGCAATGGCTCAAACTTTGCTTTTCCTGCGGCCATTCAGGATGCATGGCCAAAGCATTGGCAGTCGGCCACCCAATACTTGCACATCCTCAAAGTGATAAGGAACCAAAGCAAATCAAAAGCACTGCCATAATCATGAATCTTTGCATGTTGATTTTGCATTTCAGATGTTCACTGTTGGCTGCCTTGTCCAAGGCCAACAAACTTCCCTCCAGCCAGCTTTTAGGCCCAGGATTGCTGAGCACTGCTTGTTTTACACAGAGAATATACAGGTAGACGATAGATCACAACCTAGTTTCATTGTAGTTCTGGAAGGTTGACTGATTTTTTCTGGTGTCACTGCTTTGCTTAGCGAATCATTGTCATAGAATAGTAGGTTCTTACTTCTCCGTGGCACCGGAGCGCAATTATGCAGATAGGCAGTGGATGGCAGTGGCTACCTTTCTATTCCAGGATTTCGGGTGTGCCACTTGTTGACACCGAGAGATCTTGCAGTCACAGAGAGAAGATTCACATTCTCTGTGTGGTGCTGCTCTTTGGTTTCCTTTGCTCCTGTTTGGCGCGTTCGCCCCACGAGAGCCCTGCAAGGGATGGCATCACCACGCATATAGCCCGCATGGTTTTGCCAGCGTTGGTAGTCATGGGCCAACTGCAGATTCAGATTTGTTAAAAGTGCGTTTGTCCGACCAGGAAAGGATGTCCGCCTTGCGTGACGACATCCAACACATGCCTGTGGGACAGTGTTCTATCGGTTTACCAAACAGCAAACTAGTTCCTTCATCGATGTCCGTTGCTTTGCTTTGACATGGTGTGATCAACAGTGATCAACCCCACTTCTCTCGGAGCAGTTTTGAAAGCCAATGGGCCAGCCAAGAGAAGAGAATCCTCGAACTGAATTTTGCTACAGAAGATTCAGCGGACCTATCCAGAGATTGACGATATTTGACGATATGTGTCTTTAACTTTAAGTTTGTCCATATTGAGATGCTTTGCACCTTATCTTTCATTCTGCTCGGCGGGCCCTGGTTGGTCGCTGCTTTGTTTTTGCGTCGTTGCAGGCTTGAAAAGCTTGCAGCTCATGAAAGGCTTAAATGTCTTCAAGAGTTGCACTGTTGCTGCATTTCTGATGCTTCCTTTTATAAGCCTTTCAAGTGTCTTCAGTGGCCAAGTAGGACTAACTGACTAACCGCCATTACCTTTTCTGCCAAACACGGCATGTTGTTGAGTACCCAGCAGGACCAGTTGCATCAGCCATGAGGTTGCAAAGGATGCGTCATGGTGCTTCCTGCAGCTTTGCGCATGCGACTTCATGATCTAAAGCTGAACAGGAACGATCGAAGAGAACTTCAACAGGGGGGTCGATCCTTAAATTTACCAATCCCTCTATGTATACATATATAATCATATATATATATAGTTGTGGATGTTGTCCTTGAAGGCATCTCAAGGCTGTGTCCCCAAAACGGTTGCACAAGAGCAATTTCAGACTGCTTGCGAATGATATGTGTACTACATTAATCATCTAGGTTCCACTCTGAACGGACATTCCGATCATGTGCTTGCAGAGTCATTGGCTATAGGAAACACAACTACATGTTTAAGTTATATATATATATACATGTATTGGGCATGTTTATGCTTATGTAAGACCGAAACCCTGAGGGTTGTGCATGGTCGGTGTGGGGCAAGCTAAGACATGTAGGCAAATTTTAGTGCAAAAGCATTGAAAAGCCAGCACCCAGAAGCTGCATAGACACGTGGTTTGCTTTTGTTGCGTTGTGGTGTGGATCACCAGGTATCATTGGCCGGTATTTATGGGTTTTCTTGGTTTAAGGTGAGAATGGGACTCTCAGTTGGATCCTCGTTCTCCGAACTCATCAAGCTTCAAACTTGGAAGGCCCTACGAATCTCCTGCAACCTTTCAAATCTGGAACCTACGCTTTCCAACCAGAATCCCAACCTCCCTGGAATCTTGGCTTGGAAAATCTTGGAGAACACACGAGGGACCTAGAACTCGGTGGAACTTTGCATGGCCAATCGAATCTTCTACATTTGTGCAATAATGATATGTCATATGTACGTATATTGTATATATGTATGAACATATATGATACTCCTCGTGAAAAACTAAGTCGGGGGGGGCCAAAGTGCGTAGAAAATGGTAATTCTTTAGAAAGGCCCTTGATCCTCAAACCACAGGAGTCAGGACTATGCAATGTCTAAGGAAAAACGAGTTTACTAAAGAATGACAAACCCACAAATTTTGCATGCTCTATATATCCAAAGAGCCAAGAAAACATGCTATTGAGGTCATGTTCTACGGATCAACATTTTTCTGAAACGTGCTGCCGCCTCCTTTTCTAGAGATTATGCTGTAATATGGTGGAATTAAGATGGAACGGACACATCAAAAGCCAGACACAGTGAAGGGAACTGGTGAGCAGATTTGAGATGAAGTTTCTGTTTCTTTGCCAGCTTGAAGCAGAAGTGGCGGTAGTCAACGGAGTGCCCACAACTCTAGGGCGCATACATTCCTAGAAAATGGAATGGCAAGACACATTCATGGATGCCCTGAACCAGGGTCAAAAAGTGGAAGTGCAACATGTTCTACTGGTGAAGGTGTTCCTTGTCTTCATTTTCTCAAGCGCTCCAATCATAATTCCCTAGGGATTCACTAAAGAATGTGAACACCTGACCCCTCCACAGGAATCGCATGGGAGATTATAAATAAATACAAGTAGTTCCCGGGCAAGCCGGCGGCGGAAGTTTCCTATAAGAACAAATTGACCTATAGGAGTGTCCACATTCTCTCCAACATGCGCGTCCTCCAGTCAAACGCACGCGCTCCGGACTTTTGACCCACGGGATTCCACGTGTGTAAGGTGTGTGCCCCCTGCAGGATCAGCAGCTCACAACAGCGTACTGGGTTGTATCTTTGCCACGACAAGAGGGGTGTATGACGAGTGGTGTATGATGAGTGGTGTATGACGAGTGGTGTATGATGAGTGGTGTATGCTGAGTGGTGTATTGACCAGCAGTTGAGTGTCCTGTCCTGCATAAATGCAACCAAATACTATCAGTATGAACTGTGCCAAACCTGCACGCCGCGAGAGATGACTCAGCGGCGAGAGATGGCTATAGCGAGAGCTGACTCAGCAGGGAGAGATAATTGAGCAGCGAGAGATGACTCAGTCGCGAGAGATGACTCACAGAGCGAGAGCTGACTCAGCAGCGAGAGATGACTCCTCCGCGTACTACACTTGTACTACAAAGTGGCCAGTTCTCAGCTTCCAGCTCCACAGGTTGTTCCGCGTGCTAAAGTTGTACTAGAAAGTCGCCAGTCAGTTCTCATCTTCCAGCTCCCCAGATGCTCCGCGTAAAGTTGTACTTGAAAGTCGCCAGTTCTCAGCTTCCAGCTCTACAGATTGCTCCGCGTACTAAAGTTGTACTAGAAGGTCGCCAGTTCTCAGCTTCCAGCTCTACAGATTGCTCCGCCCGCGTACTAAAGTTGTACTACACAGTCGCCCGTTCTCAGCTTCCAGCTCTACAGATTGCTCCGCGTACTAAAGTTGTACTAGAAAGTCGCCAGTTCTCAGCTTCCAGCTCTACAGATTGCTCCGCGCACTAAAGTTGTACTACGAAGTCGCCAGTTCTCAGCTTCCAGCTCCACAGATACTCCCCGCGTACTAAAGTTGTACTACAAAGTCGCCAGTTCTCATCGTCCAGCTTGCCAGATACTCCGCGTACTAAAGTTGTACTACAATGTCGCCAGTTCTCACCTTCCAGCTCCACAGATACTCCGCGTACTAAAGTTGTACTACAAAGTCGCCAGTTCTCAGCTTCTAGCTGCACAGATAGCTCCGCGTACTAAAGTTGTACTAGAAAGTCACCAGTTCTCAGCTTCCAGCTCCACAGATACTCCGCGTACTAAAGTTGTACTACAAAGTCGCCAGTTCTCATCGTCCAGCTCGCCAGATACTCCGCGTACTAAAGTTGTACTACAAAGTCGCCAGTTCTCATCGTCCAGCTCGCCACATACTCCGCGTACTAAAGTTGTACTACAAAGTCGCCAGTTCTCAGCTTCCAGCTCCCCGGATGCTGTGCCTGCCACGAAATCTGCACATGGAGGTTCACAAAGTGCTGTGCCTGCGAAGAAATCTACACATGGAGGTGCACAAAGTGCTGTGCCTGCCACGAAATCTGCACATGGAGGTTCACAAAGTGCTGCGGCTGCCACGAAATCTGCACATGGAGGTTCACAAAGTGCTGTACCTGCCAGGAAATCTGCACGTGGAGGTTCACAAAGTGCTGCACCTGCCACGAAATCTGCACATGGAGGTGCACAAAGTGCTGTGCCTGCCACGAAATCTGCACAGGGAGGTTCACAAAATGCTGCACCTGCCACGAAATCTGCACAAGGAGGTTCCCAAAGTGCTGTGCCTGCCACGAAATCTGCACATGGAGGTACACAAAGTGCTGCACCTGCCACGAAATCTGCACATGGAGGTTCACAAAGTGCTGCACCTGCCACGAAATCTTCACTTCAAGAAACAAGTGAAAACTCTAATCCCAATGGACGGACGATTCCGAGAATGATCCGAGCATGATCCGAGCATGACCCGAGACCGTCTCGCAACCGTCGTTCCGCAGACCTTGACTTGCCAGCTTCGGAGCCA